ACACACACACACACACACTCATGGGCAAGGGCGAAGAGAGCCATAACATTTATGGGAAAAGAGAGCACGGTCTTTGTAGAAATCAATAAAGTTCTCTCTCCATGTCCTCACATTCAGTGCCGTGCTCCCGGACATTCAATCAAGGCTTTCCCCCTGCCAGCGGATCAGCAAGACAACCTCGAGGTGCTCTGCAACCAAGACGTCTAGGCCTTTCAGCACAGCCAACCTCACAAATTGACACACACACACACACATCAGCACCACCCCACTATGATACACTCATCAATCAAGCATCTGCAGTGACTGATATGGCGACAGCTTGGATGCATGCACACTAAGGAATAGATGAGGGACCAAACGTGTTTTTTTTTTGGCTGCGTCTGTCTATGAGAGTACAGTAAGTGTGTGAGTAAAAGAGTATGAAAGAAACACTGGCTGTTGGAGGGAGATAATCAGAGTCTGAGTGCATAAATGTGAATGCTGTGTTTGAGCATCTGAATGTGCGTGTGTGCAAGAAAATGATGAGAGATTGCTAACTGTGTTTATATGTGTGTGTTATATAATTTTGTTTTCAGTGTCCTGTAAAATTAAGTTTCATGTCCTGTGTAATACATGTGTCATTGTCACTGTCCAGCTGTGTGACTTTTTAATGTGTTTGCTGTACTTAGCTCAAACTGAGTTACACACATGCAGGGAAAGGCAGCTGCAGCACAACAATCGGAACTAAAAACTCATTAAACAAGTATTCTGCTGCTATAACAGACTCCACTCTTCTGGTTTCAGGCTTTCCAGCAGATCTTGCAATCTGGCTGCAGGGTCTTCCTCCCATTCAGCCACAAGAACAAAGCTCTTGTGGCTGAATGTGATGTTGGGCGTTATGCCTGGCTCGCAGTCTGCATTCTTGTTCATCCCAAATCTGTCCACATACTTTTGCCCATATAGTGTTGTCTAGTCTACTGGTTCCCCACTTGGGCATCAGGACCCCTAAAATATATATATAGTAGGCCTATATCTCAGCATTTTATTAAGGAAATTAAAGGAATTTTAAAGTTTAGCTTATTATAAAAGCTCTAAACTTTGAAAAAAAAAAATTACAGGAAGACCTGAACACAAGTTATTTTCACAGAGTACTCTCTGCTAAAAAGCCTCATCCTGTATTAGAAAAATATGCATTGAAAATAACAAAAGAGCTAATATAACGATTGCTAAGCATCAGTTGGAATAAAAACCTGAATTTGTCAAAAGAGAAGCCTATTAAGTATGTATGATGGTTAAAGATAAAAAAAAAACATAAGGCAAGCAGAGAATTGTATAAAAACCTCCCTAAAAATATGAGGAAAAACTCATCTGCGATGCAATATTCACAGGAAATAATCGCTCTCCCTGCAGTTATTACATTTGCTGTTTGGGTTCATTATGTTTATCAGTTGAACTTCTGAACTGTTATTGTTATGCTTGAATATGATATGAAATAAAATGAATAAAATATGTCACTCAGGGGTAGTAGTTTACTCAATGATAGGAAAGGGGTCCCTTAAGGAAGAAGGTTGGTAACCACTGGTCTAGTTCACTGGGACCAAATCAGGCTACATCTCATCAGGTGTTTTCAGGCTAAATTCAGGTCATAGAACACCATAAATTTGTCAATTTGCTCCTACTTTGGCAAAGGAGACTAAAGCAGGTCAAGTAGTCCAGATAAAAACAAAACTTGACAAAATTGGGTTCAAACACACTTGATCACACTATGATTACACCAGTCATTTCTTCATGGACCTTGCTCTTTGCATGGGGTGATCATCAACTGTTGCCACAAATCTGAAAGCACACAATAGTCTAAAATAGCTTTCAGGGTTCCCACTCTTTTAAAAAAATCCTTTTCCAGGCCGTTTTCCATGAGGTTTTCTTGACAATACAGGACAGCACTTACAATGGTGGTCAGTGTTAATGGGACACTTAGCTTGCTTTTTTGGCGTGCTTGGCTGTTCTCACCACAGCCGACACAGCTTAAATCACATGGATTTATTTTATTCTACAGAAAATTCATTGTCTCGCCTATAAGCCTATTAAAAGAACAGATAGAAAGTATAAGGGTTTGTTGCACATACAGCATTTCCAAAATGGATTTAACGGCAAAAGTTCTCTGCAACTGGCATGAATAGCTTTACTACAATACAATTAAAAATTTCCAGGACAACACTGAT